TCTAACTATTGTCAAATTATTCAAATTATTTGTCTTTTCAAAATTCAAAAATACGCTTTTAGTTTTGTGTAAATTATGAATTAGCCATAATTGCAACAACAACAAAAAAAAGAGTAAAATGTATGGTAATGAGTTGGAATGAAGTTGGCTTTGGAGGTGTAATCCAGATTTGGGTGCTTTTGAAACAGTCAAAATGTTGCAGAGTTGACAAGAAATCACAAAGGTTGAATAATTGAATAAGGAAAACATCCATTTTTTTAAATCGAATTTTTTGGCTTAATAATGATAAATTAACCAACTGGGACGACAAATTCCAAATAACAATACCTGTAATGGGAAAAATGTGCTCATATGTTGTCTTTAAAAATGTCCTTTGAAACCCAGTGGGACCGACTATACCAGCTTTACAACCACACACAGTGCAGAGGCAAACCAAGGATGAAGGCTTTGGTCAAGATCACCTAATCTAATTTTCTCTCCTCAATAAAAGCCATAGAATTTCCCCCATCAGAGAGATGTACCATATGCTGCAGGGTATACATATAATAAAGGGAGCCCCAGTGGGCCGGCAGACGGCTGTAGTGTCTATCAGCTTTAGATGACACGTTTCGATAGGAGACTGATTTAGGGCCGAGCTACCGCAAGATGACTTGAGTCTCCATCCAATCAAGGAGGTGCGAAGAACACCTGCGGACAGTGGAATAAAGTCTGCAGGAAGATGATGACCGGTGTCCTGCCACACAAACCCAGCATTGCATTAGCTTCTGCACCCCAATACAATTTGCACCATGGAACACGAGACTACCTCTGATGTCTCTATGAAGTGTTTTAGGCAATAAAACTGAACAGTCAACCCACCAAATGTCCACAGTGGGCTAGGGCCTCTTAATATATATATATTTGAGTCCAAGTTATTCCCCACTGCAGGGGATAGAAAGTGAAAACACATGTTGAAACTGATCGATTCATTAAGGAAACAATAGGATGGTTTTATTTGCAATGTTGGCTCCATCATTGTTTCTTTTTTTTCTCTTACCGTGGCTTCCCCTGGTTGTTTTCATCACGGTCCTGCCCAAGCTCTGTCACCATAGCAACGGGATCTTTGACCCCGTCTCTTGAATCCTTGACCTGGATGTAGATCAGCGAGGCAGCGAGGGAGCCCATTGGCCGAGAGCTGCTGCTGCTGCTGCTGAGCCGAAGCTGCAGAGGAGGGGTGGCTGTGGAGATGGGGATGGGGTTTGGAGGGTCAGCAGCAGGCCGGAGAGATTCAAGGATTCAAGGCTTTTATTGTCATGTGTACATAGCTACAGTGTAGTTATGACAATGGAAATCTTAGGTCACAGGCTCCTCCAACAGTGCAACAGTTAATAGTGCAAGTAAATACAATTAAATAGAATATAATAGAAATAGTGCAGAATAATATATACAAGTAATTGGAATATTGATATATATAAGTTGCAAACAGATGAATGTTATTGATGTTCTTTCAAAAGTGCAGGTGTTTAACCGTCTTATGGCCTGTGGTATGAAACTGTCCCTAAGATGGGAGGATCCGGGGGTCCGCTGCTGCTGACGGACTCAAAACCTCCCTTCAGCGGGGGGTAGTGCAACCTTGAGAACTGGAGCTTTGGACAATGAGGGTACTCTTTAAAGTGTAAAGACATTTTGATTCCATTCTGATCTGGTACTACTCTCATGTCTGTCTGTGAGTATTAAGGTAGAGCCAGCAGCCAGTTATCTAAGCTCAGCATAAAGACCTGGGTTAACAGCTACCCTAAGACAAAAAGAAAATCCACTAACCCTAGTTCTCAAACGGGGGGTCGGAGAGTCTGGAGAAACATTGTTTATAGAAGAAGGCCAGGATTGGTTATTGGCTGAAATATGGCTATGCATTGTTTCCCATTTACAGAGCCAGGACTGTGAAGATGTTTGAAGCACACAGAGAGCGTACAGCAAGACAATAATCAAAAGTGTATTGGCTTAGAATCGCTAACTATGTTTTAAGCTCACTAATTAACCCTGACTAACTAACTAACTAACTAACCCTGTGTCCGTCCAATACATAATCTGCCAACTAATTCTTAGTATTAGACCGTTCCCCATTAGTTAACTCAATGGCTAGCTAATTCACCGCATGGCACATTGTTTTATGTCAATTAATTGATGGTGTCCATTTATAATATGGTAAAAGTTTAGTTTCTGTCAGCATATAACATCCTGGCGGAGGGTACCTTTTATATTTATTTTGGTTATTTCCCATGATTTCCTATTAATTGCAATGGATTTGTTTCCATTTGAAATATTACAGATCTTTGCAACCCTATTCCAGAGCGATTCGAAGATTGTGGGAAAACTTTCTACTCTGATCTTTTTCTAAACTGAGCAACGAGGTTCTGTTATAGCCAAAAGTGATGCAGAAGCCTCAGCATCATTTTGATAAAGTGTAAGATGAAAGAAGAGGGTTGAAGAAAGGTCAGTAAGTGTAGAGTGGGGTCCGAGGTTTACCAGTCGAGTTCTTTGAGGAGTCTGATGAAGAAGCTTTAGTGAAGACCTTCAGAGTTCTGATTCCTTTGGAAGAGTGCAGTATGTCAGAAAGTAGGGCTCTATCTGAGTCTTGTCCTTTTGATATTTGTGAGCATGTTGTTACTGAGTGCTCCAGATATGCGCCCGATTTCTTTGTCAAACAAATCCCTCATAGTGGCAGGGTCATCCGAGAGTGAGTCACTGTTCAGATGAGCAACACAGCAGCGTCTTTTGAGTTGGACCTCTGTAGTTTTCAGAGTGCCTGGGTCTCCCTGTGGGCATCGCATCGCTGGTCTTGCTTTAAGCCTGGGTGTGGTGAGAAGCGGCTTTCAAAAATCTCAGTTTTCCCCAAGGCAGGCCTGGGGCAGTTTAGCTGGCCATCAAACGGGCCAGCTCTGAACAGGGTAGAAACGGCCCTATCAGGTTTTTCCCCGAGGGTTGGTTCCACTTATTGTTCTCGATGATGGCGAGTCAATAATAAAACTTAATTTAGACACTCTGCAGTGCAGTATTTCCAAAGGCCGGGTGTGGTCAGAGTGCCCTGAACTGACATTATAATGGTGTCTTTAAGTCAGCAAGTGACAAGGAAGTAATTGGCACTAAATATTTAAAACAAAAAGAGGCACAGAGGTCCTAAAATGTATATAAAAATGACTGTTTGTGTGCACAATAGATTACATAAATAAAATATAATACATTAAGTATGACCTGTAAACATAACAAATCAGTTTATTTCCCGGTGTCAAAATCACTGCCATTTTGAACTAAATGTAAAAAAAGTCACCCGTCACAGCGCCAGTACAGAGTGCATGCTTAGATTTCCGAGTGTAATGAGGTGACTCTTCAAAGTGCCCTTTAGCCCTGCATTTACATTATTTATTCATGTGCTTGTGGACTGTGTTGCTCAACATCACAGGACTTAATAATGTCCAGCTATAAGTCAAAGACCCCCTCAATATCATAAAGAATTAACACGTTTGCATACAAAACTATAATTTCTTTACTCTGAATTGAAGCAAACTACTGAAGAAAATTCCTTTAAAACTGATTTAGAAATAAAATAAAATGCTCTCTATTTAAATTGGTCCTCCATGATTACATTCTGAGAAGCTGCCATATTCTTTGTACTTCAGAGCTACATAAACGTTAACCTTTTTTTTTTTTCAAGCGGAAAGAGAAGAGCACAAATCTCACATTGGATTTTAGCTTTACGGATGTTACCAATGTAATCTGGAGCAAGGCTTTGGAGGTATTTGAAAACATAATGAGAAGCACCTTAAAAATCCATTTCATAGCTTAGAGGAAGCCACGAAATAGATTTTACTCTAGGTGTCACTCATTTGGGTTTTGGTAAAGCTCCTTTCTTGTATCGGCTGTTTAATTTTAAAAATAAATACAATTTTATTTTGTTAAACATTCATAAGAGAATTATATGTTTAGGTCCCATAATCTATCATGGAGGAAGATGATCAACTTCAGATAAAGATAAGCATAATCTCAGCTGAAAATATTATATATTGTTTGAAGACATTGCAAGTGTACATTTGAGGTGATTGCATTGTATATGAAGCAAAAGAAAAAGGCACATTTTACTGACGATGAATAAAGCATCTTACATCACATAAGATTACAACTACTGCACTGCAATAGCCGGACCTATAAGGAAGTGGAGGGAAACGTAGCACAATGGTGGGTAGTTTAATAAGATCTTTGAAGCACACACCGTTCTTTGGTCTCATCATGCTGACCGCTTACAGCAAGGAGAAAATAATTAAGGATCTGATCCACGGTGACCTGCATTGGATGGACCTCTTCAGACCGTCCGGGGGCAGGAGCAGGGCACGCTCCACTAATACAGGTACGCAGGGCCGGGGGAAACGTCTAACTGAGAAAACTGAGGAGAAAAAAAAGACAACTAAAAATTCAAAAAGATGCACAGAGGTGCTTTAGGGGTTTCAGTTAGATTTTTATAAGGCTTACGTTTAATCTTTCTACATTACATGTCACTTGTTAGACGCTTTTATACAAAGCGACTAACATACTCAATACTGTGGACAATCCCCACAGGAGCAATTTGGGGTGAAGTGTCTCAGGGACACAACATGCTGACTGCAGTGGGGTTTGAACCTGTGACCCCCTGATCCGAACATCAACGCACAACCCACTGCACCACACGCCTCCCTTCTACAGGCAGAATAGTCAAAAAGGACTTGAATGAATTGTGTTGAGTGTAATCTTTTTTCAAATATAATATATATATATATATCCAGTGACAGCTGTCTGGTTTGGTTCGGATTGTTAAAGCAACAGCTTTTCCATAAAATGTTGCTTCCCAATTTCTATGGCCGACTGTGGTGCTGGAGTGAAGGAAGTGATGCATTTACAAATGTGCTTCGCTTGCATGACATTGACAGCAAAAATTACAAATGGAGCATTTTAAGTTTTTGATACAATAAAGGTCAAAGTGCAAAAACAGCTTTAGGCCAGTAAACTTTTATTATTCACCAGAAATAATATTTCATATATAGACAGACATCCACAAAAATAATTGGCATTCCAACAGAAATTCTTATTTTTAACAAAAATGTTTCCCTGAATTTGTTTTTCCTTTTATGAGTATACAGTACAATCAAAATTATACGTACAAATTCAGTATCAAAACAACACTTAACAAAACAGAAATACGTCCATTGTCCCTCCCTCTGCCTGGCCTGCCTGCCCTTCAGACAGTAGCGAGTCTGCCTGCTTAAGTCGTGGCTGTTCGGAGGGGGGGCTTATTGATCGTCTTCTATGAGTGAAGTCCAGGCATTAGTTCCAGCAGGGTGAGTCGACAGCTGTCCGTGAGCCACTCTACTGGGCCTACATAGCAGGGCTGAGTGAGCTGGGATGTGCACTTTTGATTTTGATCTCCCCAACATCACTTCTATTGACCGACGCGCTGTCCTCTGCTTTACTTGCTGAGAGAGGCACTTGCCGAGGCCTAGCTAGAAGCACGGGCACAAGCCACCGTTGCATTATCTGGGTGTCTGTTGACAAGCTTTGGATGATGAATCTTCCATGGTCTGCTGAGGACTAGCCCTAATCACTGCTGTCATCTACTGGCAACTGCCGTATCCACTTGACCACGGCAATCACATGTGGAGTTATCGTTGCACACAGGGCTGAGAACCCCATGTTTGTTATCTAGGTGTGTATGCGTGTTCTCGACTCTCCAAAGTTGGACACAAGGGTCAATCTTTACCGAGCGAGGACCACTTTTCCGTCTGTGCTCTACTCTGTCGTTTTTTAAAGATCAGAAACTTAACTTGGCAAGTTTCTTTGTCCTTTAAAATCAGTTTAAATAAAGAAGTGCTACTTAGAACTATTAGTCTTCAAGTACAACATGCTCTTGAAAACGAAGCACCTTTCTCATTTCAGAAGTGTTTGTATGTAGTTATTTTTCTATCACTTGTTGAACATAACATTCATTTCATAAACTTATTTTATATTTATAATATTACATGGGGCTTACCACTTATTTTGGCACACTCTTGCTTGCTCTTGTTCTCACTGAGTCTAAGAAGACATATCCTGATGGATCCTGCCTCATCCTGGTGTCCTACAAAGTGGCACCTGTTCATGAAAGCAAATTATTATTTAGTTTTCTTTAAAATAGAGGTAATTTTAAACACAAAATCTGACTGTTGTGAAAATGTAAGGCTGATTATGATTTCAAACAACCAATGGTAAGAGCTGCCATCTAGTGGTTATCACATGGATTGCAACAAAAAAAAAGAAAAAAGGAGGCCATGGAAATGGTTGCAGATTAACCTGAAACCATTTATTTTCATACATCATTTCTTATTATTCCATCATTTAAAGTTAATATCTTACACCCCTATAATCCCAGCAAGTCTCAGTCCACCCCACCCTCACTAGATGACACCATTCTCCAATCTCTCAGCAGCATTCGGCCTTTCTCATAGTCGTCCTGGTCCACACTCATCATCAGGCGGACGTCCTCCCTGCCTGCGGCCCTCCTCAGGGAGTCAGTGATGAAGACTCCCTTCATGGCCTCCAGCAGAGCTCCGCTGAGGTAGTCTGCCCAGAAGGACTCCAGGTTGTCAACATCTGTGAACTTGATGACGCAGACGAGGGTCCCGAGGTCTCTGGCGTGAAGCAGAGTGTTGGCTTTGCTGAACAACTCAAACTGCCGCTCCAGGGGCTGCTGCTTGTCCGACGAGACTCCCTCACGGAGAGCCGACTCGTGCTCCAGGTATTCGGCCCGGACACGCAGGCGGATATCTGATAACAGAAGGGGTAGGAGGAAGCCAAAGGTGGAAAAAGTGTGGTGGGAGAGAGTAGAAGGAAGAAAATGAATGGTGAGGGAAAGTTAAAGATAGTGAACAAGGAGAGAGAGTGGAAAAGGGTAGAATTGGAGAGGCCAACGTCCAGAAACAGAGAGAAAGGGAAATCGAATCAAAAACAAAAAAGGGAAGAAAAACAGGGACAAGACAATATTGTTAAAATGTGTTTATATTGTCGTTACACTAAGCAAGGATTCAAAAATAAATAAGGGGTTTGAAGAGCACCAGAGTTCCCAAAGGTGATTTCGACTACTAACTGGACTAGAAAATGTTCACTGAAATATCCTTTGACAAAGTGAAGATATAATGTTGCAGGAGAGCAAGGCAAACTGGTAATAACGAGAGGCCCTGTGGCTAGATCGACCAGACTGTGCATTTGTTGCATTATGTGCAGCTGCAACCTTGTTTTGGTGAAAAGTGACCTTTTGGAGCATCGAGAGAAATACTCTGCAACTGAACCATTAGTGTCGTCTCTTTTCTTCCCAGGCAATTCCAACATTTTAAGAATAATGTCAGCTGTTAGCTAGATGACTGCCGTCGGTGAATAGAAATTGCATCAGAATTTTCAGTGTCCTGCACGGTCTAAATAAATCAGGGCTGTTGTTTGTGTAATGAACATATGGAAATTAACTTGAGCAAATTCTGTGGTGGAAGTAATGAAAGCAACTTAGCAGTGTGAAGCCCAGGAGAGGCTTTCTGTTCCAGCCTGGAGTTTCTAAAGGGCAGATCTTTTCTGATCAACATGATTGATGCGGAGAACAGATAGCTGCTGGAGATCCGGAGTTACAGGATTGGTGGTCATGCAACAGCGCAGCGAGAAAGATCAGAGGATACATACTGTACTGAGTAAGAACACCGCTGAGATCGTCCACCATGTCATTATTCCAGGACTTCGAGTGGAAACCAGCGGCTGAAGACTTTTGCTGCAACAAAAATCCATCCCTCCTACTCAAAACCCCTAGTAGAGGTTAACAGTATCAACTACCATAGGTAGATGATGACATCTATTTCACTAGAAACATGTTTACAAGCTGTTTTGAAGTCATTCTAGGTTTTGCAAAACCTCTTTGGAGCTCAGGCAGACGAAAAAAAAAAAAAGGAGAAATTGAAACAAAACACTTGAAGACACCATTAAAAAAAATAAAAAATGCCTTAAAAGCTCAAACGTATGACTCTGATGTGAAGATGATAACTGGAGTCTCGGTTAAGGTACAGAATCATTACAAGAGCGCACCAAGGACCCAACTTGAAGACTCATCTCATCTGTACCTGGTAACCTTTACGGTAGCTAGGGCTCCACAGTGAGTGTTTCAACTCCAGAGTCACGTTTACGGCCTCTTTGTGCATATTTTGTTTGGGGCTGTGGGGAATGGCTCCAGAGGGAGAAAGTTTGGAAAATGTCAACATTAGAAATGCAAATGTTGAATTAAGGCATTGATTTTGCACGTCTTAACATTTGTAGGAGAGCGATAAGCAAACACTGGCATTTGCATTCATGCTACATAAGGCCGTAATTAGATTACTATGAAAACAGAGCACTGAATAAAAGGAGACGCTTAATCGATGAGGTTCAGGAAATGTTAAGAATATGCACGGTTGGGGATAAGACTTGCAAATGGACATCATTCAATTTACACTTCAGCTCGCTAATACAAAGAAGGAAAGGTTTTATGGTACAGGAATATGAAACACTGACATTTTACAGGAATATTTGATTGTGATTTGACAAATTCTTAAACCTTTTTTCTATTACAGTGTCTTAAATAACTGATATTAGTCTGCAAATCTTACCAAAACATACAGATAAAAGTTTGATACATTGTCCCACACCTGCTTTATGTGTCATAACATAGATCATGACTGTCTTCAGAGAACGTAAAGTGCCAATACTGAGAATTAATTCCCCTTTTTTCATGGTTTAGTTTTACAACATTGATTAACAGTGGACTTCAGCTATTGGTTACTTTGGCAAAAAGGGGCATCATGAAAAAAAACATTACACAATAAAAATGCAACCGTTTCTGGTTGATCATTTAAAAGTAATACTCATGGGAAGGGTACGTATTTACGTAGCAAAGCAAATGGTGCCCTTTAACACAGTCAGAGCAATCCCAAAAATCGGGCTTAGGACATACCGTATTTTAATACTTAACCATACCGGGAGGCCTAAGAAAACTCTAAAAGAACTGAGAGGGGAATTACTGGTGACCCTCAGACAGATTTGAAATCAGTATTAAAAAAAAACATTTACAAGACATCTCTTACTCAAAAGTGCTTTTATGCTCCGACAACGCAAACAGCGTAATCCCGGAGGAAGCACCGCCTGCAGTCGGTAAAATAACCCTGACAAAGAAATGCTTTTTAGCACAATAGACGTTTTTCATGGCAGACATTTTGACATGTAATGGAAGGGAAACACAGGTGTATTTAGAGTTATTAATGATAGATGCATTTCACTAAGGGGAGGCCCTGTTGTTGTATATGTTGGGACAATGTTTTGGAACCATTTTTTGATTCAAGAAGCATTTAGCTATTACAGCCTATGTGTTTGTGATTCAGTTGTTTACTTGGCATGAGGTTTTTAATTCTTCTAGCCTCTTAATGTTACTCTTCAAGTGCAAAAGTGTGATGTAACGCACAATTACTGAACCATGTACAACTAGAAGTCCACTACGGACACTTGATGATTTTACTCATCTTCTTTCGCGGGGAAGCTTTATCAAATTCGCTTTTTCCATCATGTCAACTCAAAATGTCTGTGAAAAAGGTCCATAACTTAGGAATTTGTGCAGATTAGTTTTCACTTTGACAAAGTGCACTGTTATTCAATGTTGCAAAAAAAGGTGGGGGTTGAAAACATCTTGCAGGCCTATTGAATAATGCAGATTTGTTTCACCATTTCTGTACTTTGATTGATCACAAAGTGTCCAACAGGGCATCAGTCTGTCTGCATGTAACCTAACCTTTAGCTCTTATACAGTGTTCAGTATGGACTGAGTGAAATATTAAGCCAAAGCACCGTTAACAGTTCGCCCTTTTTGGATCATTACACTGTGTGAGGGCTGTGGCTATGATAAACAACCGCCCTTCATGCAATTACTGTATTTATGGATGGCCTCGATTTCTGCCTTCCCATTTCATACTGAGCAGGATGGAGGTAGAGATAGTGGCACTGAGGAGAAGGCCATTTAAAGCCACAGGAACACCATGATAGTCATTTTGTTAGGGTTACAGAGCACTTCACGCTTCATCAGACACAGAGACATCCACTTAGACAGGACATTAGGAGGCACAGCTTTCATTTTCTCACTTTAAACACCAAGCCTGTTCGGCTTCCTTCATCTCAACCCCAACCCACTAAAAAAATAAAAAAATAAAAAATAAAAGTTTAAGTACCCATTTACGAGGAGTCACTTGGCACAGAGAGCTTCAACTCTTTATCGATCCGTTTTTCTGCTGAATGACTGACCAAGAGAGTGGAGAGTTAGGGGAGTATTGAGAGACGGCAGACAGAACTCTCTTTTCCCCATAGACAAAAATCCCTCTCTGTACCATTTTGAGCGTAGTTTGAGCATTTAGAGTTCGTTCTCTCCTTCTGATAGTGTGTAAGGATACTGTTTTCCTGACACACATGTTGGTCTGTTTAGAACTGCGAACACAGAGAAAGGAGAGAAAGAGAAGAGAGACAAGCACAAGTGGGTTGGACATCTGTCGACTGGGTCGTTTTTTTCAACATCAAGCAGGCATGGCACAGCACTCACTTCTCTTAGTTGTAATGAGGTCTGAGTCAGGGCAATAGTTGGTACTGACAAGTTAATCAGCTCATCTTTACTGTAGCTCTACAATATACACTAGAGTCTAAGTGGGATGCTTGGGACTACTCTTACCTTGACCAATCCCCTTACCCTCACCGACCCATTATTTAAGCTACGAACACAACATTAAATCAGACTTGTCCATTAAAGCAAGTAAGGCCTTCACAAGCACCCCATTTAGATAGAACAGACCTACTTCTGAGCTCAGGTAACAAACACCTTATGGGCATTTGTAACAGGCAGTTGTCATTGTCAGCATGTAATTGAGACACTTCACTGAAAATGATCGGAGAGATGAGTCATGAAAAGAATTGGAGGTCTGTTTGAAAGCTCGGGGCCAGCGTTGGACTGAATCTATCTCTGCTCCCTCTTGACAAACGCACACCCAGGGCTCACACGGGGCAGAGATAAGATACAGCAGGAGCTTCCTTCAGCAGAGCACTGTTGGCTTATTTTCCTCAGAACTGCTCGAGTAAAAGGTTACATGGGCATTTTCGAAACAGCTGTCCAGTTTAGATTCTCTGAATTCAGGACCAGGACCCTTTTGAAAGGACGAGGATCTGTGAAAAATGAGCATTTTTCTTTTGGCTTTGGACTCCATAGCTGGCTTACAGGAAGTTTCAGTAAGCCAGGATGAATTGAGTTGAGTGAATATTAAGGCAGATGTTTAAAACCACTTGTAATGAGGATAGTGTGAGAGGAAAGGATGGCCCAAAAAGGATTCCCACATGCGGCAAAAACTGACACCTTCACAAACATGTCCAACGTATTTTTATTCGTCATGCGATATTGTTTAGATTGAAGTATATTTATGAATTCCCCTTTACTAACACCCAAATCTATAAAGCTAAATAAAAGCTTAAAAAGGTGGCATCAGAACATTTAATCCTGTACTGCTCACTGTAAATATCTCCTAACAATCCACTTGCTTTCCATTCTTTGTGTGCGCAAAAAAATGATCAGTTCATTCACATAACCTGGACGAAACCAGTTGGTTGGTTAGCACAACGAATATAACATTGTTGCTTTAAATAAAATAAATATATGAGCAATATTAAGCAATAACCTTTTTGACGCACACATTTAAAATGTCTTTTTACACACATTTTATCTGTAGTAAAGCCAACTTGTGTTTCTATTGTCGTACACTTCACTTCAACACTTTTACTATGTACATTTATAGAGTGCCACAGTGACACGTCCTAAAACCTGGAAGTAAGTTAGCATTTGACCACTTCCGGTTCCTTCGACAAATGCTGGAAAATAGCTTGAAATAAGGTCTGTGGTTGACACAAATTGAAGAGACAGATCACGTTTTGTTCAGCCGGATAATCTCCACATGTCTACCCTACAACCACAGACCTCATTTCGAGCTATTTTCCAAAATCCTAAGGAGAAATTGCATTGGTTTTTGTCGAAGGAACCGGAAGGAGTTTACTTCCGGGTCACTGTGGCGCTCTATAGTCCCAGCTCTACAAAGACCTAGAGGTTAGTTGGCCATGTTTGTGAATATGTTCCGCAAATAAATATCTTTCTCGACATTAACCGCCATTACAGTGGTTATGACTGAGATATGAGCTGATTGAGGCTTACTGCTGAAGAGTTCTGTGAAACACTGACACCAAAAACCCTCGTCAGAAATAGATAAGGAATCATCCACAGTGCACATCACTAGAGAACATTACAGGATGATTTCTTAAGGAGCAAATTATGTTTCCTGAGGGGGACAGGGGAGGGGGCAGCTACATTATGAAACACAGGCATCGAATAAAGAGCAAAGTGGCAGCACCAACCCCTGCTGTAACAAGCAAGGGGGAGAGCCTCCTTTACCTTAGGCATCGGCCCAGAGTTGTGATAGAGCGCATGACTGAGATGATCACACACACTGCAGTAAGTATGGACTTAGTGGAGTGACAGACTTTTTTGTTTTGTTCCTCAGTCTCTCCCTCTGTCTCCATGATCCATTCTCTGTTACTGGATCTGAGTCAGAATCCTGAGACAACCTGGTGGAATCAAATGTGGAGTGAAGACAGCGATATGTTTATAGTCACAGGCACATCACGCATCTTGAACAGCTTTTTCAAATAAAAAAATAAAGCTAGAATCATCAGTCCTTTGATGTATTTCTGAGCAACAGGCAATGATGGAGGATAGAAACGGTTGGCATGAAAGACTTAGCAAACGTCACACAAAAGGGCAATTGATGTTAGTGTTATCTCAATCTCACTGGGCTCAGAGAAAGTAGCAATGATTGATTCAAAGACAGGCAACAGATCGTGGAACAGGACATTGCTAATGGATTACAAAGAGCAGCTTCCCACTGGAGTTAGGTTGTTTCGAAGAACTGCATAAAACATGTTTCAGGAATTTATATGATGTTGGACATTTAAATATTGTGACAACTTTGTATCAAGCTGGACATTAATGCAGAACAAGGGCAGCGTTTAGCGGTGACTGGACAACTTTCAGTACAGAGTGGACAAAAGGACAGGAGACAATCTACAAGTCTGCGCTCATATCAATAGCAGCAGCTGAACATAGTCCAATGGGTTAGAGAAAAGGTGAAATGAGCGGAAAAGATTGTAAAGATGGAGAAGTGGATACAGTGATAAAATCCCCCTGATGTTGCATGTTTAATTACGACGGTTAAGGAGATACTGTAAGTCTCAACATAGTAGGAGCGTAAAAAAAAATGAAAACCATGTGAAACCACGGAACCAACTGAAAGGGAAGTAAGTGTCCAACAGCGTAATCAATTGTTGAAAGTTGTCAATCAGACGTTTTATTCATTGTTTGGTGTTTGAGATGTGAAGCCATAATTCGCTGCAGACAGTGAATACGTTTTTGACCTTCTAGTGCCATTAGATACTTCAGACAAAAAAATTATTGTAAAATGTACCATGTCAACGAGCAACTTTTATTCAAGTGCTTGCTCAAAAACACGTGTAGTGCAACGACCATGTTGTTTCCTATGGTAGCAGAGATAGTCTATTAGCAGGTGATATAACCAAAATCAAAGATAAGTTCTTCAAAATTAAGCTTTTTGTTCTAATGCTGTTACGCCGATGCTGTTGTGTTCAACTCCTTCTGATCCTGTGATGTCGCCATGCTAGCTTATAACCACACACTGGGGCTATGCTAATGCTTCCGTTTGTTCAGTGTGAAAACTTTAAGCCGGCTTAACGGCGGATCTTTGTACGTTGCGTATCTCTGTGTAAAATAATTCTGTGCGGTGCTTTTAACAGTAAGTTGACATTTTGGAGGTAAACTCCCTCCATGGTTTACTTGTGTTAGTGTGACTGGTGCTTCGCTTCATGATATTTACTGTAGGATCAAATGGATTATAGTAATTGGTCCAGTTCTTTTAAAAAGTGTGCTCTTAACACTTTTTCTCCCCAAAAGAGAGAACAACCATACTTGAAACACTTATTTGGAACGCAGATGTTTCGCAAGGAGTTAAAACCAGCGGACACGCAAGATTTTTTGTGCCTGAAGCTTCTTTGGTTTTCCATTTTGAAAAGAAAGAATGAAGACTCCTTAACTCGAGCTGATATTCAGCATAGACAAACAACATCAGAATCAGGGAGACAACATAGAGCATGTGGTGTTAATAGATTGAAAATAAGGAAAAGAAAGGAAAATGATGGATGAGATGACATGGCAGGATGAAGATAGGAAGGCAGAAGATGAAAAAAGCTAACAGAGAGACAGGTCAGTAAAGCAGGTGTTGGACTTACTGCAAAAGTCTTTATGTGCTTGTGGTGGAGGGGGCAGAGGTGGGACAGTTCTTGTTGTTTTCTTGGGCCTGCCGCTCCAGCCATTTCCCCTCCTCTTCTTCCCCTTGCTAACAGATAGCTCAGTCACAGGGGGGATAATACCTGAGAAAGTTGCATGTTATTGGTTTGTGGAATTCGGACAGTGACACATACGCTTGGACATGTTTGGGGGTCTGCTGTTTGACAGTTGAACTTCTGTTTCTAATTATGCATATGTGCATTCCTAGCACAACAGAAATAATGGAACAAACTAAATTAAGTGTTAAATAAAATAAGTGCATCGTTAACATGTTACATGCTGTGGAAGGAATGATAAACACTGGTACTGGACAGTACGTCTTCTTGACTGATTCAAAGGTTTATAGTAACTCTGAAGTCTGTACTTAGAATGAACCAAATACTACCAGTGCACTTACCAGTTCTCAAATGATGTGCATAATATGGTTGAGGTATGTCTGTCTGCTTTTTGATGTGAGGCATCAGTCTCTCCAGAGTTACTAAAAAACAAAAACATTGATTAGTACTCATCAGGCTACGACTCTTAGTACAGGAATGCAGCTACTGCTGACATGTTCTAGCATGCCATTGTAGAGAGATGCCCCCAAACCCTCATCATCATTTTAAAATCTGATATTGGTACTCCTGTGATTGAACCTCACCTGTCGGTCTTCTCTTGTGCGACGCTAACGGCAGCAGGTCGTGACGAGTGAGGACTCTCAGCAGTTGCAGTAGTGGTTCCAGATTCCCGTCGCTGAGGTAGCCTCGCTTCTCCAGCTCTAACAACAGCTCGAGCCCACTCTTAGGGGTGCATGAGGCCACTAGGGGACCCTGGGAGCCCTGAGGTTTCAACTTCATCCAGGCCTTTAGCAGCTCAGGACTCGGAGAAACACCTTGGTCATTAGGATCGTCCCCACACGGCTCAACTGTCCACCCTGTTGGGTCGAGAGGGTGAGGAGCAGGACAAGCTTCATCCAGGAGGAACGACAACACCTCAATGTCAGTTTGTGTCAACTGACAACCAACTACTTCAAAGACCTCATGGAGTGACAACATCCCATAGTAGTTTTGGCAGTCTGTTTCATCCCAGAAGAGCGAGTCCCTGTGTGGGCACCCCGGATGATGCACTGCAGCCATGGGTCTGCCTTAGCCCCTCTCCACCTTCCCACCTACATAGGATATAAAGAAAACATGCCAGCAGGACACCAGATGTGTAAAACATTAACTATTGAACTTTACATTTTTTTAAAACACATATTTGTGTCCAGTCACTATGAAGCATACAGAGAAAGCAATGGGTCTGGTGAGCATTCCTTTGACAACCTGTTTTTGTAACTTGAGATGTAAAAACAAGTGCAGTTGGTCCATAGCTATAGGACGACAAAGCTAGCTGTTGCCTCTTACTTGACAATGGCCAAAATATGGAAATTAGCTAGTAGCTAAATCACCAACCGGCAGTGGCTCAGTCAGTACGGGCTTGGACTGTGAGCCGTAGGGTTGCCGGTTCAAGTCCCCGACCAGACCTAAATATGGAGTGTGGACTGCTACTTGGAGATGCCCCAGTTCACCTCCTGCCCTGCTGTGGTGCCCTTGAGCAAGGCACCGGACATCCCCCTTCCCCCCCACCCCACTGCTCCCCGGGCGCTGTACAATAGCTGCCCACTGCTCCTAGTACTAGACTCCTGGTACTAGGATGGGTTAAAAGCAGAGAACAAATGTCACTGTGTGCTCTGCATGTGAGACCATTAAAGAGGGGTTCATCCCTCCCATTATATTTAACACAAATAAAGTCATGCTGAACTTTACATTAAAAATTGTACTTGCTTTTTCCTTTAGACACTAGGCTTGCATTACATTTGACCCTTTGTGTCATGGCATAGTGCAGGGGTCGGCAACCTTTTTGATATGAGGTGGCATTTAAAAAAAAAATTGTTATCAGCGTGCCAACGATCGAGAATTATCAACGGGGGGGGTTGAGGAACTTGACGCTCGTCAACTATCAGCAGGAGGGCGGGGGAGCCTCGCTGCGGGGAAGCAGTGTGCGGACCTGTCAGCG